TTGCTTATAGTATAGGTCGATAACTCTGCCGATGGCCCCTGCTGACTCTGCATCAGTTAAAATCTGTACTTTTTTCAGATTATGGTAGAAGTCTGTGGCAATATTATAAGAGGTGAAACACCAGCGGTCATTATCTATTGGATCTGTCCTCTTGGCATTTAATGAAGTAATTTCTCATCTCTTAGTGGTAGATGGACATACCGACAGCAGTTCCATATGGTCTGTAGATGGTATTGTAAGTTGTAGGCTTATTGCAATAAGGAGCAGAGAAGAGAACGTAAAACTCTATTGTATTTAGTTTCATGTGTATTCCGAATAAAATATATAGGCTGTTCGTACGATGATCTTTTGAATCAATTAATAGAGTTTTTCATCCTACATTTGTGCACCCTTGTAGGCCAAGAAAGAGAGAAGTGTAACATAAACGATCGGTATTTGGCTTAAGTGACGGCGTTCTGTGGTTTGATTTCGAACTTTAAAAGATCCCAAACATGTGCAATTGCGAGTTCGATTATCCGATTATCCAGCCAACCAGATTCAAACAATAATTTAACAGAGCAAATGTATGTAAAGGATTTTTTATTATAAATCTTTTAAGCATATTTACCCACGTAGAGAATTTATAAATCATACATGCAAAAACTTAGTTCACATACACAACCACTGTTGACAGTTTTCTGTTTGACAGACAATGAAGAAATCTCGGCCTTCTTTAGTTTGTAACGATTCATAAGGAACAAAAACTATTCACTTTTAAAAACCAATATGATCGAATATCTGATCATCGATTACCTTAATGAGTACATAGCAGATAGTTATATAACTGGATTGTAAAGTCAGGTCACCCCTAACCACATGAGTCAACTTCGATGCATTACTATGGGATTAGTGGGAAATGGTAAGCATTTCGGACTTAGGTCAATCGTGTAATAAGTCAATATAGCTGCATGTATTAAATTATAGAACGTTACAGAATAACGGAAAGTTAATCGAAATGATTTAAGAGAAGGTCAGAGCAATTTATTGCCTTGTTTTAAAGATTTTGGACATCAGTTAGAAGAAAAGTCATCAAATTGAGATATATGATAATTTTTTTATGGTTGGTCCACAATAGCTGAAACGATTTTATTCTGCATTGGGGCAATAATATGTGCTACCACCACTATACTTCAATGAAGGATTACTTGGTCGCGACCACCTGTGTTGGTGGTTAAAACTGGTATTTGTTATTGTGGTGATCTTAGCCGGAACAAATATTGTCCTTGGTATGAAAGCCAGGATTTGGCATTGTACTCTTTTATCGTGTTCATAACAGTTCACTTTGATACATTCAATAAGACTGTTAATTGAAACAAAATATATGTAGATGGTGGAAAATATTTCATGAATAGAGGTCAAAGGGCAATGTTTATTTTCACTCCCAACAAATTTCTTTGACCTCTGTTGGCGTATTTGTTTTTCAAACTAATAAAATGGTTTAAATTGAAATGTTAATTCATCAATAAAAACCAGTCAATATTGAAGATTTCCTGTGTTTTGTTGATTTTGGTGTCATATCAAATAATTTTACAGGTGAATTTCAAATATTATATTCAAAAGCAGACCAACCATTCTACACAATGGTTTTAGGAGTAAGTTTAGAGATATCGAGAAAGAATCTATCAGAAGATTCAATCTTGGCCTACCGATTGAATTCAGGACTAAAAGAGTTTAAATTCTGTTTTCTAGTTAACTGTGCTGCCCAATTTTGACCATCTATATCACTTTTCTGAATGTTAATCTTCTATTCTGCTGTTTCTCAAATCCAGAACACTTGCTATCAACTTGGTAAATGGAGTTTTTTTATTGGTGTATGGTGAGTACTACACTTCTTGGGTTGGGTATTGAGAAGATGAGGTTTGAAATTATGACTGATGGACCTGGTCTAAGTTTGACAGGAATTGCATTATGACTGATGGACAAAACCTAGTCTAGGCTTGACAGGAATTGCATTATGACTGATGGACTTAGTCTAGGTTTGACAATAATTGCATTATGACTGATGGACAAAACCTAATCTAGGTTTGACAGGAATTACATTATGACTGATGGACAAAACCTAGTTTAGGTTTGACAGGAATGGCATTATGACGGATAGACAAAACCTAGTCTAGGCTTGACAGAAATTGCTTTATGACTGATGGACAAAACCTAGTCTAGATTTGACAGGAATTGGTTTATGATTGATGGAAAAAACCTAGTCTAGGTTTGACATGAATTGCATTATGACTGATGGATAAAATCCAGTCTAGGTTTGACAGGAATGACATAATGAATGGTGGACAAAACCTAGTATAGGTTTGACAGGAATGGCATAATGAATGGTGGACAAAATGTAGTATAGGTTTGACAGGAATTGCATTATGAATGGTGGACAAAACCTAGTATAGGTTTAACAGGAATTACATTATGAATGGTGGACAAAACCTAGTATAGGTTTGACAGGAATTACATTATGAATGGTGGACAAAACCTAGTCTAGATTTGACAGGAATGGCATTAAAACTGAGACAAAAACTAGTCTAGGTTTGACAGGAATGGCATTAAAACTGATAGACAAAAACTAGTCTAGGTTTGACAGAAATTGCAATATGAATGGTGGACAAAACCTAGTCTAGATTTAACAGGAATTGCAATATGAATGGTGGACAAAACCTAGTCTAGATTTGACAGGAATTGCATTATGAATGGTGGACAAAACCTAGTATAGGTTTGACAGGAATTACATTATGAATGGTCAACAAAATCTATTCTAGGTTTGACAGGAATGGCATTATAACTGATAGACAAAAACTAGTCTAGGTTTGACAGGAATTGCATTATGAATGGTGGACAAAACCTAGTCTAGATTTGACAGGAATTGCATTATGAATGGTGGACAAAATATTGTCTTGGTGTGAGAGGAATGGCATAATGATTGATGGATTTGAATAACCTGATAAAAAATAGACTAGGAGTTAGTTTAGACCAGGTATACAGCAGCGAATATTTATTAGGATGAAACAGACTCGAGGCCAAAATTTCAGAATTTTAAAATAAATGACTTGGAATTCATATAATTTTTTTAATTTCCCACAAACATGATTTAATACATGTCAACAAAATAAATACGTGAAGAAAGGACTTGATCTAGAACTAGATGTTCTCACTGATCAAAAAATACTACAACCTTCAAATACCCAACATCTAAAACAACCAAGACTAAAAAGAAAAATTTCTTTGGGAATCTGAAACCACAAGATTTCTTGAAACTACCAAAAGATATTTATTCAATCTGGTAAGCTTAATGAAATTAAGACTTCTATGGCTAGGTGTAAGAAACTTTAGAGTGATTGAAAGCAATATGACCTGTGAAAGTAATGTGATTTTGAGTTGACACTGTGTTAGTGAAATTTTCTAGATCAAGTCCTTCATAATTAATAAAGCAAAATAAACAAGGATTAATCGTTTCACAGAAAAAATAAACAATATAAAAAATAAACAATAATTTTAACAATATACTGTTATGTTCAACAACAATTTGACTCTTCAAGTCTGAATATTCTGGCCCTTTCTATTAATCTTCATTATAATGATTAAATCACAGAGATTCGTGTACAAAAATGCAACAATAACTTCTTTATGGTATCTTCATATTGCTCACTTGAGTTAAAAGTGAAAATACATCAGAAACATCTGAGGACACTTTCTATGTCAACTCAACAATTTTTGTTAAGTTTACTCTTTATATAGAATTTTGTCAGTTATAATTAACAACATCAGCATTACTAGATACATCATTTTGTTAAGTTTACTCTTTATATAGAATTTTGTCAGTTATAATTAACAACATCAGCATTACTAGATACATCATTTTGAAAACAGTAAGTTTTGAGAATATAAGCACTATTTTTTTACGCCCCAATTTAACAATACATGAAATATAAACATTTCCAGAGTCGACAAGAGATTTACAAATCTTTTTATCTAAATTTTCTCACTTTCAGCGAAAAGTATAATGAAAAATAATGTATCGTTGAAACTAATGATATATGAAATAAATAAGAGATGTACCAATCACAGTATATGATGAATTTCTAATTATTTAACCACAATATCTCAAATCCCTCACATGGTTATCACAAAATGTAACACAAATATTTTACATAAAACAATTCAGAAGTCTCAAGTGAAATTGTAAAACATGTCATATGACATGCCTTATATACTAAACTAATTGCAAATAATGTGTTCATTGACTGAAATAAACCATGTTTTAAAACCCCAGTATGTATTATAGCCCAAATTGATGGCACAGCAGATCATCTTTTACACAAAAATATTTGATTTACTTCACATTGCACTTCTAGACATCTTACTTTTAACATTTGAGTAGTTTGTTGAATGATATCTGAAATTAAACCAATGATAATACATTACAAATACAAACAATACAATGTGTTGTTGTGTACAATCGAGGGAATTTTTTCAAATAATTCCATTACAAGCAGACAATTGAAAACATTCAAGTTCAATCCTTCAAAGTTTACTACCCTCCAAGATGATAAAAAAATTGAAAATTTTAAACTTGGGTCAAAATGGGTTTTTGTTTATCAGTGGATTTACTTGGTGTCATTTCTATACAAGAGAATAATCCAATAAATCCATGAAATCAAGTTATAATTGATTAAACTAAGTAATTTTTAAACATGCTTAGAAGCGTATTTCAATAATTACCTAGTTTAATGAATATATTGTTTTATATAGAGATTCTATTCTTTAGTCATGGCACCTGGTAAATACAACGGATGAATATTTACTCTTATTGACCAAGTTTGAAACTTTAAATTTCATGTTATTTTAAGAGGTAGTATTTCTTTAACATGCATCAGCAACAATTTAATAAAATTACTACTAGAAGTGATTTACTGGTACAATGTCTCTGAAATCAATGAAAATGTAAAACATACGTATAAGTGAAGTTAAGCTTTAGGATTCATCTTCATTAATTCAATATCTTCTTCAATCATTTCTTTTACTAAAGCCTACAAATAATTTACACATACAATATTACATCATACTTGGCTATTATTTATATATCAATCAGTGATGATTTTTACTATTGTTTCATCTTACAGCAACAAAATATAGGACTGTCACATTAACCCTTTAAACACTGTGTGTAAGGAATTGAAACACATTAGCATATGACATGTAAGTAAATCATTTCGCATTAAGCCTTATTAATTCAATTTCATTTAAATTTTTTGGACAATAACCAAAATTTGTCCCACAATTTTATGGCATCTATTAGTGTTTTCTACAGTGTCTGAGTTGGTTCCAGAGTTGTCAAAAATAGCACATAATTTTCACAGATAGTGAGAGCAAAGTCTATTTTTCATTGCAAGATTCACAGATTATAATTGAAGATATAAAACAAACTTACATCAAAGTCATATTTTTTGGTCCACCCTAATTCTTTGGTAGCTTTTGAACAATCACCTTGTAAGAACTCCTACAATAGAAATAGAAATATATATAATATAACAAAACACATGACAATATTATGGAATATAATAATATGTTAATATAAATATATGTAAGTTTTTTAAAACAATTTTACTTTACAATTCACTTGAACAATACTTTTAAACTTATGCCTCATCTTTAAAAGTGGAGAGAATATCTCTTGGAAACCATGTTCATAGAGTTCAATAAGTTAAAGCCTTCTGTGACATATCTTGAAAATAGTTTTGTGAATTGTATTAGTCATAAAGACTTTGCCATTGTAAATATGGTAATGAAACAGAAGTACCATTGTTTCTGATATTTACACAAAATACAAGTCAGAGACATTTAAACTTAAAACCCTTACACACCAAATATTAAAGTTGAAGTCTGAAAGGTCTGTTAACCAAATGGCTTCACATCATATACAATGTATGATATAATATACACACAACACAGTAAGTGTTTGACAGATGGTGGACTTCATTTGATTCTAATGCCATGATAACACAGGGAAATAGAGAATACACACAAGGATGGACATAGTTCTCATCAATTCTCATTTAAACTCTTTTCTCTTAAAAATTAATTTGGCCTATACAAGGTAGCTATGAAAGCAACTTGTACAAGAAAAAACTGGAAGGTTGTCAATATTTATCCAGCCAAATAACACATACCCCAACAATATGCACTTCTGAAAATATCTCAAATTATGTAAATTGAAAATAAACATCATATTCCAACAATATAAAAATTCCGAAACTCTGACTTATAAATCAGTGTTATTTGATTTCCCTTAATCTTGTACCATGTGTACCTACCATTAGTCCAAGACATGTCTTCCAGCTACTAATACCATTTGTTTATACACAAATCTCTATTATTTATCAATGTAAAAGTGTGTATTTAGGAAGTATGGAGGGCCAGTAGAGCAACATTGAGTATATGTTGATGGTATATTTATTTATTTTACTGATAAACTTATATTGATCTGTTTCTTCTATAAACTATCAGTAAGATATTTGCCCGTCTGTCAGTCACTGATAACGCCATTTCTATTGCCACCAAACACAAATAATCTTCCTAACAAATTCTCACTCAAACCATAAAACAACAACCAAATGCCAAAAGTTTGGAAAGTATTAAGCAACTAATGAACATTTCATTACTCTCCAAGCTTTTAGATGAGATGTTTTTTATTAGCGTTATCAAGTGGGAAAACATGAGAAAAACATTTCCGTATTGTTACTTCTCATGGTGTCATGTGCTACACATTATTGACAAAGTATTACTGAACAAACTACTAAAATCTTTTTTCCAATTCAAATACAATACTGATTTTTTTTTGTCATAGGCCTAATTTTTCAAAAATTCTTGTAAAAACAAACTTTGATTTGATTGAGGTCATATTTTTGACCAGCCAGTAATCTTGAAAATACACTGTAACATTATTCATTTTGCATCTCAAACAATGGTAACTAGAAGTTTGAAGATCGATCTCAAGGACAACAACAGATTAAATATAGCTGGGTGAAAAATATTGTGGGTGTCTGAAACTTAGTGATTCATCCCACCTCCAATGTAAAACCATTATTATTATTTTTTATAAACATTTTTACTTCCCAATCTCATTTTTATCTTTTCTTCCCCAATGTGTTTAGAGATGTCAAAACTATGATTATTGTTAGAGATAACAAATAAATCTTTAGAAAGCATGTAGAAAGTTGAACCAAAATAAAGCCAGTTAATGTTTGGAATAGGGTGGGCAGTTCTTAATACATGTATTTTCACTTTACTTAACTACTAAACAATCTTATTAACATTTTAGAAGATGATGCCTAACAGTCAATACATTTGTATGGAATTTCTGATATTCCAATTCTTCACAATTGAAGATGGCATGTCACCATTTTGTTATCTTATTAACCCAAGCTAGCTACACATCATTTTTGGGGTATGGAAATGAGATTGGTACCATTTAAATCCAACCATTCAGATTGAGGGAGAATGGAAAAGAAAGTCACACAAGCAAACCACAATAAGGTTTTGATTTTCTGTCGTCTTCAGTTTACCAAAAATTTTACTAAATTCTGTATCATCCATTAAAAAAACAGTTAATCACACACTGATTGGGTTAAAATCAAAATTAACACTTTACTAACTGTAAAGTGATCTTTAATATGTGCAGAACAACTAAGCACCACTGCACCACTGCAATCAGCATGAACAGAGAAGGTACTGTCAAAACCTACAATGGGATTTCACTATGCAACTTCCTCAGGAGCAAGTTTCAAACCTACAACTTTATCCTACCAATACAAAGGCAATATTCAGTAATATTCTAGAATTTATGCCATCGCAAAAACAAAATTATCACAGAAAATTGACCTGTCTCACCCCAAAGAAAAGAGTAATCAATAACTTTTTAGACCTATAAGAAATAAAATACTACAAAACTTTCTAAAGTAATTAGCTGAAACCTGACAAAACAAGATGAAGACATTATTTTGATAGAAAATGGAGAATAGAAGTAGTTTGAAATGTAAAAGTGACTGATTATCTTTCTTGTTTATTTCTGCAATGACAAATTCACTTCTTTTCAGCCACCTGTCTTTACCTTAACCCTTACAGCTGTTGGCTTTTAAAATCTAAAGGAGTTCAGAATAATTTGAGCTACAAAGCAAGATCCATCAGCCTTCATAACAATATTATGACATTTAAGTTATACATCTTTTTTTTTTTTTTTTTTTTAGACAATCCAATACAATACTCTTTGCTAATTTATATGAGTTATATTTTCAAAGATTCCATATAGTCAGGAGATATCCCAAAACAAAAAAAGCATTTCTCAGTAAAGTAGACAAACCCAATCACAAAGTGACATTTTGTGTTCTGATGGGTGAGCATGCCATACATACAATTATAGCTCATAATATTCTATCAGTTGAAATGAAGAGCTGAAAGCTAAAATGGCCTAGGAAGGGTTTTGTCTATCATCTTGACAGTAGCCTTTTATTTATAAATACACCAAAGGAACATCATGCAGACACTTATATAAGCCCAAGTACAAATACAGTTTAAACCTGTATTTAATGGTGCTATTAATATTTTCAACCTCAGTTAATTCCTTCCCTGCAGGTGGCATCAATAAAACTATACTTTACATCAATATTTGTTTTCATAGAATCTTGTAAATTTGATAGTAGAAATTTTTGGATCAAATCAACAAGAAATGTAACATGGAAGAAACTTCATGCAAAATGAGCAATTAATGTTTTCATTAAAAGTGACTTTTGCTGTGAAACATGGCGTTTGGTAAACATACAAGTGTCAAAAAAATACTTTCAATTATTTCATCTGTTCAAAGGCCTGATGGGAAAAAAAATTGATATGCATTTAATTAGCATTAATTAGTTATTAGGTTTTTTAATATTAAATTGCACCTGCTGTAAAATTCCAATAAAAGTAAAAAAAACTAGCAGTGAGATGACTATAAATTGATAAAATATTCTTCACACCTGTTTCCAGAGCAGAAGTCATTTTATTAATCAGACTTGAATGTTTGTAATAAAAGGGAGGTAACTTGTAAACTTTAATAAGCAGACACACCTACTCTACTAATTCTTATCCAGATACAATTTAGATCAAAATTAAAATAAATCTTAATCACAGTTACTAAAAATTTGATAAAAAATTGTTTTTAGAACTGCTCTGTTGGAGTTTTAAATATATTCAAATTTGTCTTTTGATTGTTAAACTCACGAAAAACTGTTTTCTCTGATGCTTTTCGTAACTATTACCAGGTGCAGTAGAGCTAAGAAGCCAAGATTTGGCTGAGTCTGTTCCACTTTTTGAAAAACCCTGGCTCAATAAACACTGGCTTCCTTATGTTCGCACTCCAATCTTGAACTAAAAATTTAATTCAGTGTTGTCACTTGTTAGAGGGTCTCAAAAATCTACTACCAATATTACTGTAATTAGATTCCGAAGGGTTAGTTTTCTTTAAACAAAAGGCAAGTAGAAGTGAATTTAGTTGATAAGCATACAATACAACTGTTGTTTATTTTTATGATATATATTATAATGTGTGAGGTCTTCTATATAACAATAATAATAATACAACTAAATAATAACAATATTATAGAAATTTAAACTATGTAGATATACTAGTTCCTACTTCAATGAAAACTTCACTTCTTAATCTGACCCAACATTTCAACAGTCCTGATATTTTCAAACAAACCCTCTAAACATTAAATCTCTCATTTTAAATATTTATATAAATTACAGAGGTTTATTTATTTCAATTTTTATTCTAGTTAATATATAAGGATAATATGAAATGAGATTGTAAAAGGGTGTTGAAATATTTCACTACATCAAATTATCATATACAATCCTTTTTCTTTCCTCTTTACAATGATCTACAGTTTGTCTTATACCAAGTGAAACAAAGCCGCATTCACAATGCATCCAATCAAAGGCTTACTTGATTCAAATATATTTCGGCTAAGGATACTTGATTTTGATACTTGACTTTCTACTATTTGCATACAAAGGTTGGATTTAGACTGACACTATTTAATCAACTTATACTTAACTTCTGACAGATCCTCGCTTAAAACAGATATTTGAGCTGGTCTGAAAGTTATATTCAGAAAATACACTCAAAATCAACAACTGATACCACCCCCTTCTTTTTTTCTCTTCAGCCCATTTTTTGTACCATATTTATCTTTAAATCATGACAAGAAAATAATTCTATGCTGGAGATTGTAAGAGTAATCTTGGTCTTTTCCAATGACAATGCCTGTGATCCTACCCATTAGTGTCCAATCTTTGTATTGTGTATGATAAGACTAGTTCAGTTACAGAACAGGTCTTACTCAGGATTCTTCCAGGCTATTTAAGTAGGAAGAAAGGAGGATGTCTTATAATAATGACAGAATAAAAGACATGAAAGATAAAGGCTACCAGACATTCCATCAACATTCAAACTGAACTTATATTTTATCTGATGTGGGATTAACTTTCAAAATAAAATGTGCCAGTGTGTATTTTAAAACAATTATATTTCTGACCCTAAAAATACCCAACAGACACTATGAGCTCATAAAACATGTTTTGAAACATAACAAATCATACAATCAGTGAACCATGTTGACAACTCCTGCAAAACATATCAAAATACCATTCATCAAAATTACTGAGGAGAAACAAAAAACTTTTATAAATGGTAAAGTAGAATCAGTTAAAGGCATGCTTTCACAAAAGACTTCCTCTTCACTGAAATGTACTTTATGCCCAATCTACTTTGCACCTGAATTGGATCATTACAACTAGCAATGCCATGTAGTATGCCATGAGAGAGGCATAAGTCTAGAATTTCCAACTACCAGCAGATCTCAACATGATTGCTTAGCCAAGTTAGGAAATAGAATCTTATCCCACCTCAAAAGAAGACTAAGTCTAAAGAGATGTAGTTTTGCTTTCTCAAGACAAAAAAAAGAGCAAATAAGCTAAAAGCAGAATGATATTTCTAAAGCAAATTCTATGTTCAATCAATGTTGATGCCAAAAGAGTTTCAATTTAATATTTCATTAAGGTACAACCACCATGCACCATATAAGACAGTAAATGCCTACATTTGTCTTCAACCACACTGTTATTCAAATCTTGTTACATTACAATATAATCATTGATCTGATAAAATATCACCAACAGGATGAGCATTTTTCAATGCTTTAGTTTCAATAGATACCTAAGCTACAGATTTCTTGTTTTAAAATTTGAAATATTGTTTGTCGACTAATGACAACTACCAAAAATTCCTTTACATTATCTGAAATTAAAGGTAAATATCCCTTTAATATATTGTAATATAATGATAAAAGAGCCTGGTGTTCACCACACACTAACCAACAGTTCCTTGTATTCCATGCATATTTCAATCTAAATGAACTGTGAAGAGTGAAAAAACAGAAGTGTACTTGATGAAATGAAAGCATCATTTATGTTGCCACAATGAACTCTTTATGAAGAAGAAAAAAGTTTAAAGAAGACAGAAAGCCAGAGAAATATTACTCGACTAAACTGGAAGACACTTGAGATTTAATGTGAGTTTTTATCACATGAGTTTACAAGATGTAACGTGTCAGGAAATCAAAATGACAGGAGTTTGGTAGGACATATGAGATTAAGCTCAGACCTTCAGAAAAAATCTAGTACCTGTAGATATCTGCATTCTTTTAATCAGACTATAAAAGAGAAACACAGGATTTTAAAGCATTAATTTCTTTAAGTACTTTGGCGATTTTTTTTTTCTCAAAGGAACCTAGCTTTCTCCATATCAGCCAATCCTAACTGAATCACTGACAAGGATCAAAAATCCAGTTGGAATTGAACTCCAAGGCTAGTGAGAAACTGCAAAATGCTTTGGCCACTGATGTTCCCTAAGCATAAGCAACAGCAAGACCTTCTATGACCAAACACAATATCTTATCAGAATTTTCAATCCTCTCAATAAAACATAAGCTATAGCAACGGGAAGAAACCTTGTGGATCAGAAGAATAAAGTCAGTGTCTAACTCAAGTTGGTAATGAGGTGTTCTCTTTAGAACCTCCCCAAAGATTTCCAATGTTTACTGACAATACAAAACTTGTGTAAAACTAACAAGATAATATGTGTTTATATAAACATGTAAACAGTAATGATTATGGTCTACACATGTTAATGGGAATACAGTACTTTAAAATCTGGAGAAATGTCCGCGCTAGAAGTTAAGAAGATAATTCATATCTATTTTTATTTTTACCTGAGAATGTGATTTGAAGAGCCTGATGTTGCAATACAGTTATTTTGATGCAAACAAAATGTCAATCTACATTGGCTGTCCACAGGTTAAGTACAGTTCACAAATTATAAAGTTTATTATTCTATGTAAATAAAATCTAAGAAATTTAGTTGATTCTATGACTGCATTGAAATAAACCAATAATATTTTGTCATTCCAAAGCCTAAATGTCATTTTACATCAAAGAAATACCAATTCGATGCTCTTTTGGGTCCATTTGTGAAGTTACGCATCCAAATTCATTGGAGCAATTTCTATTTCTTTCAGAACATTTAAACTTTTTCCACCTTGTGTATGAACTAACATACAATAACCAAGCTAATCCAAATTCTTGACATTTTATAGATGTACTTTTTGTTCTCATTCAACTGTCTTATATATTCCATATCAAATTATGACATTTTAACTATTTATTTCATTAGATTGTCTAATATTTATGAATTTACAAAGACCACATGCAGGAGAAATACCGGTGGCTTGGAATAAATCAAGAGAGAATATTATAAACATATGAATAATATGTTCAATATTAGACAGAAATTATGGTAAAGGTAAAGAGCACAAGATGGTGGCAATACCTTTCATACTTATACACATATGACTCTTAAATAGATACACCTTGTTCTGCCTAATACATTTGATTCAAAAAATATGATCAGCTACCTATTTAAATACAGGTGGCTTAGTTTTGCTAATTCAAGCATCTGGCCAACTGGAAGAAGTTGATGAAAAGAGAACCAAATCATGTTATACTCAAAGAGAATTAGCTTGCTGGTAGTGATCAAGATATTTTTGATGCTCATCTCACAATAATTAAGAACTCAATCTGCCAAATTTATGTGATATAATTGGAAGCAAAGAATCTCTTAGTGACTACTCAAAGGAAAGTGTACTCCATTATAATGCAGATTTTCTGTAAGATGTAATCTATGATACATCAACACATGCAAACTATTTGACACATGTAGATATATCTGAACTTAAGTGTACAAATGTACAAAACCTAAGAAACAAGTAATAGTAGCCTACAAAATATTCTCTCCTATTGAAAGTATCATCATTCAACATGAGCTGATTTTAAGATAATGTTCAGAACTTGTTCATTAGATATGGCTCAGTTTCAGCTTGTTTGTATATACCAAGTATATTTAAAGGTTGGTAAAGTATCTAGTGTGAGAGATGCAGACAAATTAAAATCCCTGTTTAATAGCCCTATAATGAGAAACAAGAAACAGCAATCACTTTCCTTTGATATGAAGTTTATCAAAGATGACAAAAACAGAAGAACAATAATTCCAGTTTGATAGATTTCTTATCAAGTGAGATGCAGGTGTGAGGCAAGGAGAACATCTTACACCTTTCGAGATCATTGAGTGTAGTAATGAATAGGTAGATAAACTATTCTAACAAAATATATCAACACAATTTTCAAAGAAGATTTGTTTAGAAACCCACTGGAGAAAATTGAAAACACATTAGTGTAATTAAATAACTATCATAATCAGCTGGAAGTTTGGAATTGCCTGCTAGTATTAAACTATAGTATAATGGTAAAGGAGATTTTGGAGAATGTCTGAAAAATCTATTCCAAAATAATGACCCAAAGAAATTCACTGAAATGGAAATTCTAAAGGCATTTAAACATGTTTTTTAAATAATAATTAAATTAAATGCATTTGTAGCATGACATAATTGAAAAATAAAACAAAGAAACTTTTGCACTAAAGAATACCTTCAAATTTGAAACCCCAACAATTTCATTTTTAACACAAAGGTTATAGTAGATAGGATTGCATTGAAACAATTTTAATTAAGATGGAAATAAACCCTTACAATACTACTGATTCACACTGTAACTGTGGTAGTAGTAAGCTTGAGGGGCAGACCAATCAGAAACTCAAGAAACAACCTTCAAGTCCATAAACAAAAGCCCATCTTCAGTGTTTTATATATTTATCACAAGGTTTACTGATTTGGAAATGGTAGCCAAATTTCTGGACTAAACACGCATGGACTGATGAAAAAGCTGCATAACTGCAAAGATGACCAGACTTTAACTCTAAGAAATGATTATAAGTAAACTCAGCTATCATGTTTTATACAATTGTTCAATAAGGCATATAATGTATGTACCAAATATATCATTCATTTTGACAGATGAGAAAGGCATATAGATAGAACAACCAGCCTGACAAGACCCCCACAAATCTACTATGTTTATCTATTTACTAAACATTGTTGAAACTTAAAGTCAAGTTAATTATGCGTTTATTTTGAAATATACCTTTCCTACTGTTAATGTGTTTACCAATATCTTTTGGGCTTGACTATTTTAGAAAATGCTGTATTGATCAAGGATTACAATTGTAATGAATCCAGCATCTGACATCTTGTTCAATTTTCTCTTACAAAACTATACTCTAGCTTTTTAATAATAAGTACCAATAAATTGCAATTCAATTTGTTATTATTTAATGTCAATTTCCTTGGTAGTATTACTTTTGTCTTTAAGTTTTTCAAATGATATCCAAGTACACCAACACAATCTCATATAGAAATAAATATAACAGAAACTTACAACTTCTGTGGGTCTGTAATATTTGGGATTTACTTTAACACGAACAACACCTGTAGCTTTGTCTTTACCAATTTCTGTATCTTCTTTACCCTCCCATCTAAAGAGAACCATTTACTTAACTTAACAGCTTTCATTGATCTCACTGGACATTGATGATCAAGTAAGCACAATTATTTTACAATTATCATATGGCTATAGATTATATGCAAGAAAAACCTTTCATGATCTAATGAGTTCAATCAGATACTTGTTAGGTAACTTCTGTTTTCATGACTCTTTAAGTTTTTGTCTACTTACACAATGTCTACTCCTGTAATTTTAAAGGAAGCTTCTACAAATTCCCTGACACTATGAACTTCATTGGTAGATATAACATAATCATCTGGGGTATCTTTTTGTAACATCATCCACATAGCCTGTAATATATTGTTTATCATATTAAAAACATAATTATATTATATCAAAAAACATAATGTCAAACATAGCCTGAAATATAATGCTTCTTGTATTGAAAAATATAACATATAACATCTAACATAGCCTGAAATATAATGCTTCTTGTATTGAAAAATATAACATATAACATCTAACATAGCCTGCAATATAACATTTCTTATATTACAAACTATCTAACATGGCCTGAAATATGTTTCTTACAATGTCCAAAATTGAATGTAATGTAAGCTTAAGGTGTTTATATTATGTACATAATATCAAAAATGTATACTTACTTCCACATAATCTTTAGCATGTCCCCAATCTCTTTTAGAATCTATATTACCTAATTCTAATACTGATTGTTGTCCTAAACTTATTTTAGCCACAGCACGGGTAATTTTCCTGGTAACAAAAGTTTCACCTAAAACATAAAGATCAATAAGTAAGTTTTCAAAGATTGAAATATCAATTATGTTAATTCTAAATGATCAATAGGGCAGTTAAAAGTTACAAGATTTCCTATACATTAGCATTGAATCTGAAGTTTGATGCTTGAATATATGAGTTATGGTTTTAATCACCATCAATTTTTGTAAAAATTTTTCTCAAAAGGGGTTGTATGTGTAAGATGTATCAAAATAAAGTGCACAATAACTATTTTAAACTAATGGGAACTAACTTTAATGACTTTCTATCTATGATAATCAAGGCACATTTGAGTTTGAGTTTCTGCTGACAATGTGGCTAGAAATTACTAATGAGGCAGTGTATGTTTAACCTTTCAAAATAGATCAGTCACTGTAAGAATTGTATTGTCTATTAGTTTCAATTTAGGACAGTCCACATGGTAAAGAATGTTATTCAATGTTTTCAAGTGAATTATATTTTATATAGTATAGAATAAAAACTGTATAGAATCTGTTATTGACTAACATTGGACGACCACCCAGTAATCTTACATGTACAATAATTTCATGACTGGCTTTAAATTTCTGCTTCAAGAGAAATATCGTAATTCAAATTAATCAGTTTTCACGAGTGAAAAAAGTTGAAAGATGTGTACCACACACAGAAAATTTATTTATAAACAAGAAAATTGTGATAATTAAAGACTTAGACTGTCTTCTAGCCTGGCTCACAGAAATTTAATATTATCAGTTTTATGCCACGATTAACTTGTAGTTTTTATTTATACGGTTAACTGACAACAGTCTAACAGTGTTCAGGGTGCTTATAGAATATATTACAATGATAAACTCTGCTTGGTGAATATAATTGTTATCATATATTACTGTAGTGGAAATAATCATGATATTATGTTGAGTGATATCAGATGATACTATCAACATTTGACAGGTCCCTAAAGGGTGAAAATAGTTGTATATACGGTAGTTATAATAAATAAGTTTTTTATATGAAATTGCTTTTTTTTGTCAAGTTCATGCACAAAAGGAATAACCTATAGACTCAATGATGCATTTCTACTTAACCAGCTGAGACAAATGTACGTCTCTGCTTCTTGGATACCTTATTCCACTCTGCATTTGTCAACTCCAAAAACATTCGTAATAGCGTGGTAATAATTTTTATAATCATTTTTAAAAATTAGCATTATAATGTGGCCTCAAGCCATGTTGTCTGGGTGTTTGACAAGAGCTATCAGAATAAGATTTTCAAACTACAAGAACATTATTCACAGGCTTTTTACCGCTTTTTGATTTTTGATAGGGTTTATCCTTAGTAAATAATTTCACCAAGTTTCTTTAAAATTGAATGTGTTTTCAAGAGCAAGAGCAATAACTCATATTAAATGTGTTTAGATTTTATTGATTTTCAATAGGGTTCATCCTTGGGTAGTAATAAACAATTTCACCAAGTTTCGTCCAAATCGGTTCAGAATTTTGCCTTCTAGAGTGTTAATGTGCTAAAAATTTAGCGCAATTTCAAGAACAAGGGCAATAACTCAAAATATTTTTTGATTTTTCTGATTTTAAATAGGGTTCTTCCTTGTTGACAGACAACAGACAGATGGACAGGGGTGAAGACTATATACATCCACATGTATGGTTGTGTTGGGGCGTATAAAAATGTCTTAAACATCTATAAAATCATATTTCATATCAAATTGTAAAAAATAAAATCCATCAAATCATTTTTTTTCAAAATATAACATTCAAGCTATCATCATTAAGAATATGAATTGTCTAAAGAAAGGAAAACATCTTAAAGATCTAAAAGATAATAATGGTATGACAAGCTAACAATTAGTGGCTATGTGATCTAGACATTTCTAACTCCAACACAAACAACCTAACAACATCACTATGACATGAGACTGATGCTTACTAATTGTTTAGCTGACACCTAACCTTTGTTCTAGGCTATAATATAAACAATCTCTAATCCTATTCCTGTCACTTATCATACACCTAATTTCATTGTCTTCAACCTGATTGGCACAATTCAATTGATTTCATTGGCTGACATTTGAATTTTTTTCCAAATTTAAAAATCTAGGATTAACGTAAATTTCCAGTTTTCCAAATATTGATACTGATATCAATTTGTGAGAAAATCAATTTTGAACTGATAAGTTAAATTATTTTGGTGTAAACAGTCTTGAATAAGGAGAGTCTTGAAATATTAATATTTCAACAAAACTTGCGAGATAGAATTCACAATAACAAAAATAATTTTGTAATGTTTGCAAGGTACGCCAAAGTCTGACAGCCAATTCATTAAGCGGAATCAACTCATATTCTACAGAGGTCAGAGCTACCTTTCCAAGATAACAAGTCACAGTAGTAGAACTTTCACCAAGTAACTAACAGGTATCAAGCATACTATTGAATGAATTCAGGACTAGTAAGATTAATTGAAATGTTATGATAGTGAAAAATGTAATTACCTCTTCTGGGACTTTCATGATTAAATAGTATACCATTACATGCAAACATACCATAAGCTTCTCTATAGTTTACAACTATCCAATAAGCATACAATTTAGCTGCACCTGGAAAGGAAAATGATAATTTGGATTATACACCCCTATTAGACAGTTCCATTTTAGAAAGCATTAAAATAAAATATTGTCTTAATGATGCCCGAAAAATAAAAGTCAATACTATCTAAATTAAATGACAAACGAGTAAACAACAAGCAAATGAAATACTTACCATATGGTGATCTGGGGTAAAATGGGGTGGTTTCTTTTTGAGGTATTTCTTGTACCTTTCCGTACAATTCTGAAGTTGAAGCTTGATAAAATTTCACTTCTTTCGTAAGGCCACATGTTCTAATAGCATCTAATAGTCGTAGTACACCTAGAGCATCAACATCAGCAGTATATTCAGCTAACTCAAAGGATACCTGTAACATAACATACTTATAATCAAATTCTGATTGTCAACATATCCATGCTCATAAGAAAATTCAGATTCCCAATCTTTGTCAAGAATTATAACTAGATCCATACACCACTAATGTTTTGTATGTTGTGAAGAAAAAGGCGAAAAATGGCTGATAATATACAGAAAAGCTAAAATCAACCAAGTTTGACAAGAAAAACAGTAAATGATATTTTATTAGAAAACAGACATGTTTGTAGTGGCAAGATGAACAAACTATATCAATGTAAGGTAAACATTGTGGCTGACAGTATTGGGCATGATGGCTGTCTTGATGTCATTATCAGTGCTTTTAATTGTTGGATAAAAATATACTTTCATCTTCATATTTACTTTCCTTACATGCATTTTTTAGCAAAGTTCTGGGGAATGTTTTTCAACAGACTGCTGATTTTTAAATGATCTTGTAAAGCATGCAATTTGTTTGTATTTGCTGCAAATTTGATGTTTTCTAATAATGACAGAACAAATTTAAAATCTTTTTTGTCAAAATTCAATCTTTTGGCTTTTTTCAACTACATCTGGTTATACTCAATATAGACAAAGTAAGAATCATGAAAATGGCAAATGGTTGTAATACTAGTGTTTTTTAACGCTTTGTGTTCTGACAAAATCTTAACACAACAAAAGATGGTCATTAAAAATTCCATTAAATACCAGAGATAAAATTTGCAGAATTTTTCTGAACAGTTTGTTTGTTTGTTGAACACATACAAAATACAAATATCAACACAGAATAGTCATAACTGTTACACAAATCCTAATTACTATCTGTTTTGATGACATATTTATTATAGACATACACATCCTTTTCAATTTCAAAAAGCAAAAATTATTTTAAAAAAACAAACATTCAACAAAAACTACAATAAGCGTGTATTTGTTTTCGTTTTTTTCTTTTTCAAAAGACTTTATTTTACCATCTTGAGTTTGTTTAAGATATGGCCAACTCTTTCATCAGTTTCTAATAAATTACTGTTACAACATCCAGTTTTCAGTCAGTGACCAAAACCAAAGAATAACAAAGGCACACTGATGAGATCTGGAGGAAATTTCATGAAATTGCTTATTTCACTAAATCATGACAAAATGTCTTCTGAATGCCATGTCAAATTCAGCTATAATCAGGTTTAGTATTTGCCTCATTGGCTATCTTGTTATCTTAAGCTTTGAGAGAAGATTGTAACAAGTGGAAAAACAAGCAAAGTCTTGACAGAAAATAACAAAACTTTGTGACGATTTGTAGGCCAGACTGAGGAGATTTTCTTGTATTTGTCACAACATGGATTGATTCAATAGAAATAACGTGGCTAAAGGCAAAAGATCAAATTACAACTGTCAATTAAACAGCCTTCAATATTCTGTTGAAATCAAATTAATTTGTATCAAGGTGCAACAAGCTAGCAGAAAATTTCAGTTCTGAGTCTGAACATTACACATGTGATATTTGATTGATAAATCTATTCCGTTTCCAGTTTTGTAACTAACAATATATAAGATGTCCAAACTGGTTACTGATATTTCCTGCTTACCTAATTGGGTCTTCAAGAGTAATTAGCTAACCAAATTTGCACATATATAAATAATTAGTATAAACTATTACCTTAACGTGACTCTGAGCTGCAAGATTATAAATTTCATTGGGTCTAATTTCACTAATAATCTTGACTAATCTTGTACTATCTGTCATATCACCATAGTGAAGGTGCATTTCTAAAAAAGACAATATAAATATTCTAAATTGTCATAAAGACCTCACATGTTACAGATCGTGAACAACACAAAAAGAAAATTTGATCGAGAATAAATGAAATATTTAATTAAAATTTTAGTCAGAAAAACTTCAGTCCTTTTTTAACAAACTTTCTATTTTCATCCAAAAATATCAAATCAATTCTAATTCTAACAGGGACTATGGTTAGTATACAGAAATCTCATTAAAATATAGTCAATAATGATATGGTGACAATATGGTCAAACAATGTTATTTAAAATATAACATATCACTTTCATCATCATTCAGATCTTGCTATTAAAGAATCTGATAACTTATATTTATCCTGATATTAGGCAACATCAAACATACTCCAAGTTATCATTACATGGTATCATATCTCTTTCAAATATTTAAAATTTTCAAAGTATCCATTGCATCAAACCTATCTTATCACCAGCCTGCAGGCAAACTGGGTAGCTTATGATTACTTCTTTGTTCATACAAAATACTGTCGTTCATAATCCAATGAACACAAACAATTTATTTTACAACTCATTTTATGTGAACAAGGGACAGCTTTAAACCACATTTTTATTTCATAATGAAACAATTTAAGAATTTCAAAACTCTACTTTGAAAATCTACTCATCCAAAGCATAAAGTTGAAAGCAAAAATTTGAATACAACCATAGGGTAACACTTAAACATGGTACAATTTTTTTTGCAGTCCTGCAGAACAATGGTTCAAAATGAATAAAAAAAATCAAAGAGTTTTCAGTTGCAGGGTTACAGAGAATTGTTGCCTGAAGGAAGCAATCTGTTCCCTACTTTACTAATCAAGGCAAATATTCTTGGGTTAATTAAATCTTCATTCTTGAAGATAAAACTGGTTGATATTTGTCAATGGGTAAAAACTAAATGTGTCTGAATCGAGACACAAACACATTTACTCTTAATGAGATTATTCAGTGATTAAGCAAACTTATTGCATAAAGATTGGCAAAATATTTACTTTTGGTGAGTCCACAAAAGCTTGGCACAGATGTGCAATTACATTTCCTTGCCAATTGATGAAGAGACTTGATTCTCTGTTTAAATTGAGATATTGGCTGAAATTGCCAGAGGCTAGTACCTTATCTGTTGCTGTTCAAGCATACCCAAGATTAACTAGTTTGTTTAACTAAGGTCACAACAAATGTGGTTGGATGAAAATAAGTGAATTAATACAGACCCTATTTTCTAATGGAGAAATTTCCGATCCACTAATTTACAAAATGAAATTTACAGATTTGATAGTCTAATGAAATCATGCATGAAATTTTTCATTAAACACCATTAGATGCGAAAATAATCAAAATTCTGTCACTTCTAAACAATACTAGAGATCTGAATTTAATTTAAGGTTTCAATAGAATTTATTGGAAAGTCATAGCTTGAAACTAGATTTCTTATTAGAAATATCATATTCTAATGATTACCCAAATTCCTATAAACATGTTCAACAAAGCTGATTGTGCAGTGTTTGAAAATGTACCTCTGTACCACAGTTGAAGCCAATGTAATGTTTTTACAACAGTTGGAGGTCAAAGTAAAGACTTCAACACCTTGAGCAGTTACTTGCTATTAACATAATATCGGTTCCATTTTCATACTATCACTATGCCAAGGGAGATAACACAACTCTTTAAGGTATAAAACAGACAACACTTAACTAACATAAGCTGACCCAGAGAACAATTAGAGGGAGATAAATACAAAAACATGCATCAAATTGAAAATTTCTTGTGCTAAAACTCCAAATGTGTAAACGCAAAGTAAAATTATCCCATATTCATTCTAATAGATTCTTAAAGCATCCCAAAATTTCTTAGAAGAAAAAATCACTTTTCCCTAAATCTCTGAGCACACATAAACCCTTGTTGCTAACAGACAGAAATTTCAGGTTCAGCTTATTTGTGTCGACCTGCTTTTGGATTTCAGACCTACACATAATCTGTGAAAATTCATTGTTACATATAAAAACACTTATTTACTTACTGCCTTCAGTGTGAGATACAGGATCTGCATAAAGATGTTCAATTCGATGTGTGTTGAAAGTACTGGCTCTTCTGATGATGCCATGAACCTGTAAAAAAAAAAAAGCATTAAATATAGATTGGATTCTTCAAAAGTTATCATAGAATAGATGCCTCCATATCTCATCCAATAAATTGTAATTGAAATCCTGCAAGTCAATCAACATAATTTGAAAATACTGCAGAAACAGTCAAAAATCCATAAAGAATTGTGCCTTTGATTTTGTCTCATAGCTAAAAATTGAATGCGTTTTGACACATTACATATTTCTTGGGATTTTTGAAAGGGTTCATCCTTTAGCCCCTTTTATCAAGCGTTCCGTTCTAGGTCTGGTCTGGGCCGCCATAATATGTGCCCATCAATATTACAATAAACTTTAAGTGGTCTTAGGATGGTTTTTCAGCTGTATTGTAAATGAAAAAGTCCTTGGCAGGGTTATCTGTGGAACTCTTCTTGTAGAAGATGTAATCAAAGACATCTGGATGTAATCAACAATTTCACTGAATAATAATGAAATTCTTCAAGAAAAGGTGAAGGTAAAGTAAAGCGTTCTTAGAACAAAATTCATGCATTCCATTCTGAGCACAGATAAATATTGTAATGAAATAGGGTTGATGATAAAAAATATGACAAGTTTAAACTGTTTACTGTTTAGTTTCTTTACACTAAATTGTGGAAGATCAACAGACTGACATGGACAGACCGAGGCGCTGACAACATACCACCCCATTATAGTTTAGGCTTAAAAAAACAGTTTGACATAACTTATGACAAACATAACTGAGGCCTTAATGGTATGGACAACCATAGTAAGTTTCCTCAAAATCTGATCAAAACATACATCTCTATCAAACTTTATTATTTTTCTCCATGATAGAAATTGTCTCACAAATGAAAGATAATTAATCATAACATATATATATTAAGTTTTATATAGAGATATTAATTGTATGTCTCATTATATATATTACAATATGTATTGAAATACTACTATTATTGTTTTTGGTTTTTGTTTTGCTTTGTGTGGTAAATTTATGCAATAAAATTATTATTAGGACAAGTCTAGTGGCAGCGGACCAAAGTATGTTTTAGAGCGGTGTCTTGCTTTCTCCGACATCCTCTGACTCCTCTGCATCTCCGACAAGTCATTATGAGTCTTGAATACTCTTGATATTCGTGAATTGGACAGCATGTTTTTTTGACTCTTGCTGCATTAAAAATTTGGAATGTTCTTATTATGTATGATGTAACGAAACAATTAATAATCTTTTCATTTTTCAATATGAAATTTTATGAAGATATTTTTTGTATGCATTAAGATAGCAAACTTAGCCACCCAATTGTGTCGAGTTTAATCATGAATTAAAATGCACCATGTTATTTCTTTTTAAATTTTCAACCTTTTGTTTTTTAAATATGAATTTTCAACTTGGACTATGCTAGGCCCTACCATTGAAATATACCGCACTTGACTGATATGAGGACTAGTGTCTATAAAATGAAGAAATCGGTATGATTTTACAATTCTGCGAAACTTGTTGTGTCTAGGTTCGAACGTATGTGACGCCGAAACAGTATGTACGCTTCTGGTTGCTTGCTTTGCACGAGGTCACATGACGTCATTCACTTTGTAGTAGGTCGGCGGGCTGACCGCCATTGTTGTAAGAATTTCATGTATAATAAATTTAAGTTTTAATCAACTATGCATCTTTATGGCCATCGCAAACACAACAAATTGGCGACGAGGATGAACCTGAAGAAGAATGGCTGGTAATTTAGTAGGTTCGTTGCCTCCTCCTTCACCTTTTCTCGCTTCACCCGGCGATCCACCGATTCCGTATCAAAGATGGATAGAGGGTTTCAAGAATTATCTAATTGCTAATGCCTTAGACGGCGAAGATGTCTCCGATGACAGAAGAAAAGCAATATTGTTTCATTGTTTGGGTGATGAAGGACAACGAATATTTAGAACTTTGGCCAACACA